CCCCAAAACCCCAAAACCCCAAAACCCCAAAACCCCGAAATATATCTGAGATATTGAAAGATCATAATTTGACAAAAAGATTATTATGTAACTGAAATGGTACTGATTGATGCAGAGCTCATAAAATCTTTTTGAAGCTTCCATTTCTGGGCTATTCTTCACATCCGAGTACTCTAACTCCGTTAAAGCCATATCTAAGAAGCACTTCTTCAACTTCAGCCTTCTTCATATTGTTTCCTTCCATTTGAAGCTCTTCCAAGTTTTTCTTGAAGTCTTGTTCACTTTCAAGACTTGAGATCAGGTTTTCGAAGTGCACTGGGTTGTTAACCCAGTCACCTTTTGAAGGATGACCACAACCTTTGAGTTCCTATTGAAGCATAAGTTTTGAAGAGAAAGTCGAAATCTAGGTGTTACAATTAATGAGGAATATATTAGCAAGCTTACCAGTGTTCTCACTGTGCTTCCTTTAAGAGACCCACAAAAGCTTATTTTATGAGCCAATATTAGCTTGCAATCGATAAATCCAGCTGTTGTTTTATTTCTGATAGCAGACATTAGTGTTACAATACGGAGAGGGTTTACTTCAAAGTTATGTATGAAGAAGTCAGACTTCACATTATAACTTGCTATCACCATAGCATCAATATAATTGTCTAAATTCCTACTAAACTCAGACTCCCAGTTGAAATCAAGTTTCTTCACAAGTCTAGGAAAATGAGATATCAGGAAAGCTCAAAATTCTTTGCTCTCTGTAGGAAGCTTAGAAAAGCGAAGATGATCTTCATCAGGTAATCTTCCTTTGAATGAATTCAAGAACTCAATCGTTTCTTGTTCTGAAAGTGAATAATCCACTGGATCTGCTAATTCTTTATTCTCTTCTTGTCCTGATACTGAAGGATCCACTGGATCTGCTAATTCTTTATTTTCTTCTTGTTCTGACACTGGAGGGTTTACTGAATCTGCTAACTCTTTATTCTCTTCCTGTTCTGGTACTGAAGGGTCCACTGGATCTGCTGTCTCTTTATTCTCTTCCTTATCTAACGATGAATGGTCTACTGAATCCACTATCTCTTTCTTTTCTCCCTCATTTGTACTAGGAGGATGAAAACTTCTTGACGAAGCTGCTCAACTATTACTCTCAGAAAGACTAGTATAAGTGACATCATCATATTGTGAACCATCTCTTTTTGAATGGGATGAACTTAGAGAGGGTGGATAAAATGTTCTTTCCTCTGTCTTCTCCTAGATTAATACGTCAAATTGGCATTTTTAAGACTAAAGCTCTTCGTTTACTACTTTTTAAGATTCATGGTAGCAGCTAATTTAGATGACTGGGTAGAGGAATTAGGAGAACTGGGAGGTATATTGGCACTTATTGGACAGGTAGAAATTACTTAGAGAAGAGAGAAGTTGGGATACACAGTTGTTGTCCTGGTAAAAGGTTCTGAGGGTGTAATTACCTTGCTTTCTGTTGCATTTTCCTTGGTTTCTTCTTTGGTTTCTTCTTTGGTTTCTTCTTCGGTTTCTTCCTTGGCTTCTTCCTTGGCTTCTTCCTTGGCTTCTTTCTTGGCTTCTTCCTTGGTCTTTGTTACATTTTGTTTGAGCTCCTCCTTGAGCTCCTCCTTGATATTATCTGGTCTAATTTGGAGTTTGTTAGGATTGGAGGCTGTTTCTTTGAGCCTCTGAATAAGATTGGCTTTGCTTTCTTCCATATCATGAATCTTAATTTCCAGTCGAGCCTTGTCATTTTGAAGATCATTTGTCCTAGTTTGCTCCATTTCGAATAAAGATGAAAGATGGTTGATTTCCTTCTCGAAATCTTCCGCAATGGCTTTTCCTTGGCAGCTAGGCATCTTAAAAACCTTGGAGTATTGAGCTATAAAAGCAGGTTGAGCCTGTTCGTAGTTTGATGGTATCTAAGCTTTGGAGGAGATATATGGGTTGAGCCTAATGAAAAGATTTCCTAAAGAACAGAATTGACAAAGTAATAAGATTTCTTTGTTAGAGAATCTGAGAGAATCCTTTTTTAAACTATCGGGCTTAAAAGAGAAACAAGTGTTTTGGGGAATCGAATTCTATGTTGATTGGATCATAGATTTAGAAATATCAAATTTAAATTGATAACTAGGACAAATAAATAAGTTTTCTAAATTGGGGGATTAAGATGATAAAGTAAAGCTCCATTTCGGTTACCTTTAATTTGTTCTGTATCCTCCTCCATTGTTTCGGAACTTATGAAATCCTCAGGACTTGCTAGAGAAAATGCAACTCAAGCTTTGATAGCATCAGAGTAAAGTTCCTCTTCTGTCAACGTCATTTCTATGTCATCTGCCTCTTCAAGTAAGGAAGCATATTCAAAATATTTTTTTTCATCCTTCGCGATATTGAGCTTCTCTCTAATATCTTCAAGCTCTTTCTTTACTGTGCTACTCAAATACTCACTCTCTTCAGGCATAATTCCATTGTTAAGCTTCATAGTAATCTTGTTAAAATTTAGTAACTGAGATTCAACTTTAGATATCTGATTAATAACTGTATCAGGGCTGATTAGGTCCTCTACTTTATGTCCAAAATATTTGATATCTTTGTGGTGTGAACACATGTACAATCTTTCGTCTTCAACATAGAAAAAAGGCTTCTCAGTGCATCCAGCATGTTGGCATTTAAAGTCACTCATTTAATTTAATAATTTCAAGATTATTTGCCCTCAATGGGGTTTTGGGGTTTTGGGGTTTTGGGGG